TGTATAATAACATAGCAGGCTTTATTATGATTAACTAATTTTTATAGATCATCTTGTCATAATAAAGTATTATTAAAATAATAATTTTTGGTTACAAGAATGAATTCAGGACCACAAATATAAATTTAGGAAGGATAAGACAAAAAAAATTAAAAACTTTATGTTTTACTTTATAAATTATCAAAGTAATTCAGTAATCTGCAAAGTAATTTGAAAGTTAAGTGAGAAGTACTTTATTTCATCTTTGAATAGGATATATTTTAATGAAAAGATTAAGATTTGTGCTTAATAGACAATCAAGAAACACATATAATTTTGACAATGGATAAAGGTATTAAATATTGACTCTATAACTATTAAATATTGAAATTATTTTTTTTACTTATTAATTTATCTTGCTTTTAATATATTAGCCTAAGCTTTTGCATGTTGAGAAAGTGAATGCTGAAATGTGAATAAAAAATGAGTATTAAATATGTAAAAGATATCAAATATATGGAATTGAAATATTAAATATAATATATAGATAAATCTTTATAAAACTATTAATTAATAAAATATATATTTAGTATTTTTTTCAATTAATATTGTTAATTATATTAATTGATATTCAAAATCTCTTGAACATAAAAATTTTATTTTATGAAGAATTATAATAATGTATATGTATGATAAGTAATTAAGTAATAAATAAAAAATATATTTATTAAAAATATCATTTACAATTATTTTTTAAAAAATATTTATTAAAAATAAAAAAAAATTTGTAAAAACTTATTTATTAAAAAATTTGTAAGATTTATTTATTAAAATATTTGTATATATATTTTGCAAACTAATTTTAAAATCTATAATTCATAACAAAATTTATCACAAATTGCACATTTACTAAAGTATCTATAACTCTCTCAATAAGTATATTTATATTATTACAATCAGTATTTTTATTTAAAAAAAATTTTTATCACTAGTATCATCATTGATCTCAGAATTTTCTTTTTGATTTGAGCTTTTCACTTTTACTTTTTTATCCAATGATTTTAATATCTCTTGAAAAGTTTTACAATTCTTTTTGATTTCACTTATAAGATAATTAATACAATATCGACATTGACTTTCTAATTTGAAGAAAAAGTATTTAAAATGATAAGCATATTTATAAATTAGAATAATATCTATCTTACAAGAATTCACGTAATTCTCTAAGTTATAATATTTATTATTACATGAAATATGTGATGTATTGATAAAATATCTATATTGACTTGCATTTTTAGTATTAGAAATTCATATTTTTCTAATTTCAAATCTATATCAGATGAAATAATTTTTAATCTATCAAGATTCCTATAAATATTTATAAAAAATTTTAGTAAAAAAAGTGCTATATGTTTTTCAAGATATTTTAGCTATTTCACAGAATATCTAATATTATGATTTTCAGCAAATATATTTATAAAAGAATTATTTCCACACATTTGATCAACTATTCATACTTCTTGAATTATTTGCTTTGCTGTATTTGATTTACATATTTGTCATTGGAGTGAGTTATGAAAATTTTCTATGTAATAATCATTAAAGATGTGGACTGAATCTGTAAGAATTTGAAAAATAGGATAATTAATATTAAACTAATAAAAAATATTACTTAAAAATATTAATGGTAATTTGTTATAATATCTTTGTCAATATTAAAAAAAATAATCCAAACTCAAAATATTGCTTCAAGATACACTTGCTAATTTCCACTATAAAATACAATAGGATAAAAATCTAAAACTAATAGAATAATATTATCTAGCAAATTAATGAGATATCAGACTTCAAGATCTTTAGATTATTCAAATTTCTGCAAGATTATAGAATGAACTTGGAACTAGTCTTGACATACTAATTCTAAGATTAAATTAATTCTGTAAGATTTTGGCTTTTTTGCCAATATCTTACTATGACCAAAAACTGCATGAAAAAGTAAATCAAAAAAATGATAATTTAAAAGAAATACTATTTTATACTATTTAAGAATATATGCAAAGATCCAATTATTAGAATAATATACAAAACTTGCTCTGAAATTCCAGAAAAATCTCTAAATTTAATATGATATATTATAGTATATTATACATAAAGTTATCTAGAATAATCTATAGATGCTATAAATACTTGCATTCTCATATAAGTCTCTGCTTTGGGAATGTTTATTAAAGATCTAAGTGTATTTACATATTTCTTAGTTGAATGAAGAAATCCTTCTTGTAAATTGACAAGTTTTGTATTTTTCATGCTTCAATTTGTTTAACATTATTCAATTCTATTATCATAATTATGAGCTAGAAGATGTTTGACTTATTTATCATGAATTTCTTGCATAGATAAATTGGAAAATGCATTTTTTTATTCTATGTAACTAAGCTATAAATTAGGAAAAAAAAGTGAATCTGTATTCTTGATAATAATACTTGATTCAATATCACTTTTATTATGAATATCCCTTTCTTGATTAGGATTATTAAATGGAATTGAGATTATTTTTGACAAGACTTTTAAAAGTATCATAATAAAATAGATAGTATTAAATATAATAGTTAAATCACTATAACAAGATTCATGAATATTATGAAAATTATCCATATTTAAAACAATCAAATTTTTGATCTGTTAAAAATTATATATAAAAAAAATAAATTAAAAAAAATAAAATTAAAAAATTAAAATAAAAAAATAATTTAAAAAAAAATTTTAATTACTTATACATTTACATTCTTTATTAAAAATATCTCCATCATCTTCATATATGTTTATATATATCATGTCTTCTGTCTTACAATAGTTTCACATCTTATTGTTAGACCTGCACTAGTCAAGATTTTAATTACTAATGAAAATGCATCAAATATATCTAACAAAAGTTCTACCTTGATCTTAATACCATTTATAAATTTATTATTAAGACCTGCAAGAAAATAGTAAAATAAAATTAATCTTTTTTTATTTTTTTCATTAGTTATGTGATTTTTAGCTTGCAGATTTGTCCTGATCACTAATTGATCAAAAAAATCTTGTAATAATAGTTCAGTATTTTCAAGTATTTTTTTGAACTTATTGGAATTAAGAATAGATTTTTTATTATACAAATGTTAACTTGTGTATAAGATCTCTATCATTAACTTAATCTTCTTACTCAGAGAAATTAGTTCTAAAAAAATAATAATATAAAAAAAATAATTGAAAATATATTACAAATAAAAATTATCAATTTACCTAGCTTTGTTTCATCAAGTTCTGCATATACTTTATAGTATGCCAATTTCAATTTCTGAAATTCTGATTCAGAGTAAATAATATTATCATGTAAAATATATGATCTATCTTGAAATTATTTTATGTTCTCTTTTAGAATTCTTTCTTTTGCCAGAGAATAATCAGGTAAATTAACGTATTTTGAATCAATATTTGTTTTATATAAGCAATAATAGCATATTATTACTTTCTTTGACAGATTAAAAAAATTAATCAATTATTTTGATATTTACCCAAATTTTTCTTCTAAATCTTTTTGAGATGTAGCTAAATAAATTGCATATTTGGAATAAGAATATAAATTAGTTAGTTTAGTTTTCTTTTTTTTTACATTAATTATATACTTATTATAATATTTTTGACATAAAGACTTGCCAACTAAATCTAAATATTGGCTTGATACCAGTATAATTATTTGATTAGTTATGATTAAAGTACCATAAAGATTATAATCACAAGTGACTTTATCATAACTTTTCAAGTCACAATAACAAACTTTTCTTTTTCTCTTCTTAGTATTAGAGCTAACTTCATAAATTTATTCTTGTGTAGATATTTTATTATATTTTTTTTTACTAAATAATATGAAATGATTTTAATAAACTTTATAAGTATCAATAGGTTAATTAATATTCTACAATTATTACATGAAACTTAATTTTGTTAACTAATAAAAATCTATAAAAATCATGAAATGATCTATAAAAATAAACTAATCATGATGAAAGTCTACTATGCTTTGTATAATTAATTATTTTACTAATTATACTTCAGTATAAATACAAAATTTTAATTTATTATCTATAGATAATCTTGAAAAAACTTTATAATTAATGCATTTAATTATTTTTTTTTAGTATTATGACTAATCAAAATAATAGATATATAAATATATATCTATCTAATAGATATTCCTTTACTTTTTTTATATAAAAGTGGATTTTATTTTGCAAAAATGAAGAATAGAAGATAATTATTTATTAGTTTATTATATCTGATCAATAAATATTAAGAATATATATTATGATGATAGATATTTTTATTTTTCAGTATGATTATTCTTATTTTACTACAAGAAATATTCTTTACTTGCTTTATTTATATATAAACTAGCAAATATTAATTAAATAATATGATAATTTAACTTTTGCTAATCTTATTATAAAGATCAACATTAATTTATTATTAGTTGCATGACTAATTATATTATTATATAATACTAGAATTAAAATTAAAATAAATATCTTATATTATTTCACACTATATAATATAAAAAAATTAAAAATGATAATAATATAAAATTTACTTTATTTAAATTATTTATTTAATAAATTATTTTTATCAAATATATAATACTTGAATAATTATTCAAATATATATAATTTAAACTATTTATTATATAATACATTATAAATAATTAAATAAATTATTATTTTATATAAAAAAATATTATACTTAAAATAATTAATCACATCATTATCATCATCATCATTATTATTATTATTATTATTCTAACAAATAAAAAGATTTTAAGAAAGAAATGAATATAATGCAATCTATATGATTATAATAGATATCCTAGTCATTTGCGTATTATTATAAAAGAAATAAATAAGGTTTGTCTTGTCCATCTACTCATTATTATAATAATTGTTTAATGTCTTCAAAAAACCAATAAAGAATGCTTCATCACACCCTCACAAATGACCGTCATCAACTTGCGCTTCAAATTTATCCATCACGACTCCCAAATGTAATATCCGTTGTCCCGACTGACATACCGGATCCATCTCTTTGCCAATCACAATTCCATCTTCAGGTGCATAATAGGTTTCTACGAGATTCCCAAACACGGAATGTAGTGTGGCAATTGGTTCGTTCTTTTTTACCCAAGTATTTACATCCGGAAGGACTAATTAAAGAAATGGTGCAAAATTTGTTTATAGATGCGAGATGAAAACTTCACTTTGTATAATTCAATTTATAAATACCATTCAGAATACCACCGCGTTTGCAAAAAATCCAATACTGTTTATCAAAAAAAAAAAAAGGATTATTCATATAATGCCTGTGCGCTACGAAAATTTTTATATAACTTACGCTTTTTGAACAAATCACTGGATCATATTCTGGCAATAAATTTTCACCGGGAATCATTTTGAGATTGGATAGAATATTGGTGACGCCTTGAAGCGCATGTTTCACAAATCGTTTCTGAAAAGTGGATGGGTCACCAATTTCAACTAATTAAATTATAATTAATAAGTAAACTATTAGGTAATTATAGTTTGCGTAAAGCAAATAATTAATTGTTACCAGTAATGGCCGGAATGCCACGCTCCATCGCAGCTCCACGTAATGATCCGTCAGGAGAAGTATTATGTACAATGATCTGAAAAATTATTATTAGACTAATTTTGACAGCTATATATTATATGATAGCTAGCAAAAAATTAATTCTTGCCTGTGGATTTTGCAATCTTGCCATTCTTTGTGTTCGTGAATTTGTCATATTAGCTCTCACATATAATGAATTAGCACGGCCTTTGGACGCAGTGTGCAAATCCAGCAGATGTGTAAATTTGCTCACGATCCGATCAACAAGATTGTACGCGTAAGTTTGTGAGGTTGATCCGTTTTGCTTGCCGGGCATCAAGCGATTTAGATCCGTCCCGTCGCTAAATGTGCGTTGGCCACTCAGGTAGCCGGGTACATTTGCTACGGGACATGCGACGACTATGCCATGCAAATTTCCGGGATTAAGTTCTTGTGAGATTAGACGGTGTATTAATGGGATGCCGTTTAGTTCATTTCCATGTAAGGCTGCAGTCTTTCGAATTTTAGTTTGATTGAACGCAAATGGTTATTTGATATCATGATTAAAATACTAAAATAGAAATTATATGAATCACTTACTAGACCAACAATCGGACCAACTTTAACACCCTTTGCAAGATAGAATCAAGAACGCATATTAAAAGCCTTGCTGTGTCAATCCATATTTTGGATAAAAATAAAACCCGAATTCAACATAAACTATTTTCTTCTCTCTCTTATTTATTTGAGATAGAATTGTGAGCATACCTTAGCTACTATTACAGGGACTTTGATTGGTAAGCACATTCCGTCTTCTGCTAATACAACCCATAAGTAGGATACTTGTCCGTGCGGAAGAGTTTCCAAATCTAAACTCATTACAGTGGGAATTGAAGTTTCTTCAACCGAGAGATGAGTAAGATCTTGAGATAGAGGAGCTAGAGGTGAAGCAGCTGGTGATAAAGGAACTCGTTTTCGCCAGATCTGAGTTCATGGTTCAAAGCATTATTATGCTTATTATTAAATTTAAAATAAGATACAACAATTTTTTGCTCACTTGTCTAGCCTTGGACAACAAGGTTTCATCGCGTTCACTAGTCACAAATTTGTAAGATGTCACTAAACTCCATAATTCTTTCCCGATAGGAGTAAAAGCGTAACGATTAAGATTATTACTAGGTGACATGGTAGAAGTTCTTGATGGTGGTGCAATTCTATGTAAAAGGGGCTCTGGCAAGACAAATTTTCCATGAATTGATTGCGGACTGTAAAGTTCCCGAGTTTCTTGATTAGCCTCGACAATCTTTGTAGAAAGTTGTTTCAATTCTTCGGTGGTCGACGTATTATAAAAGTATTTGTCAAATTTCTTCAGGATCTTCTGGAAACCGGTAATGTTTGTTTGAGTAAACTCTGTCATAGTGAAGAAAATCGAATTGAATGAAATGCGAAAGATAAATATCATTAGCAAGTCATTATATAGTTAGTTAATTACCTTTAAGTGATTCCAGAGACGATAAAACCTTGAGCATATTATTTCGCCTGAATTTTATTATATTAAGCACAAAAAATATAACCAATGATAATGGAAAACTAGAAAACTAGTACGAAATTCTTGAATTACCAAATTCCATATTCTTCGTCCGACATTCCTTTATGCCACTATAACAATTAATATACAGCAAATACATTTTAAATAAAAATCTCAAGCAAATATTTAAGTATTAATCACACAAAAATGTTAATATATATATATATACGCCTTATTCTGTAAAACATTATAAAGCTGTAAAACGAACCTCTTCGTTCAACTTATCCAAGGCAGAACTAGACTCCGCTTCAACATTTATATAACGCGTATTGACCTTTTCCAGCTCTACCATTAACATTTGGCGAAATTCATCAACCAAACTTTTCAAAAACAAGGGGTCGCATCCATTTTCTAGTAATTAGAATATGAGTTCAAGAGACTGATCATAGACACTTTTCACGAAATTTGGTATGTTTAATAAAATTTTTTTTAATTATTAACCTTCATATTTTGAAGCTGTCTCTTTTAAATATTTCTTTAGAGTACGGTAATCAATGTAATAGTCAGACCAAGTGGGAATAATGCGAAGAGCCAGTTGTTTAGCAAACTTCATTTTTCCCTAAATTAGTATCTCTTTCAAAAGTAAAGAAATTTCGAAATTTATATCTAAAATGATGATGACTCATCTCCTTGTGTCAGTCACGTTTGTTCGATCCTATTATTGGAAAAGAAGGATCGTAGATCGTCGAAATTATTGGCGTTTTTTTGTTTGTTTGCAATGATTAAAACCAGTTTTTTATGTACTTGATCTCTTAAAAAAGCTATTGCGATTTGATATACTTGTAAATATTATCGAAATACATGTATATCGAATATCTTTCTAAAAGAAAGATCAAATGATAAGAATCTACATTGACTAATTAGATCAGATCATACCGATACGTACCCTTTCATAAACCTAACGATAACGCACGGCATTTTTTTCTTGATGTAAAAATAATGGTTACATACCTCTAATACGCTTCTAAAAAATCAAAATGGCAAATCTGGAGGCAAAAATACATCACCAATTTTTCTTGGGATGATATCATATGAATAATAATCATGATCATAATTATAATAAATTGAATATGGAAGAATCCATTGATATCCATTCCATATCCAGTAATTACCCTTATCATCATAATAATTATGATTATTGCAATAATTGTAATCTGTTTGAAATTGTTGTAAGTTGTTTCCAAGATATTCATTTTCTTCTTCGAACTCTTTGTTTTCACTTCTTGATTTTAGATCTCGCTCAGAAAGCTTTTCGTCCTCTGTGAAAATAATAGGAATTTCCTCGCCTTTCATCTTTTTGTATAATCAACCAGGAAGAGTTTATCACATGTCCAAAAAGGATAAAACTAATGATAATTAGTAAAGTTTACTTTCATCACATACTTGAACTTTGTTACGAATAGCTTCTAGTCTTTCAAAAGCCTTTTGATCTTTAACAGTTGATAAAGGTCTCTGGTGATGTTCTTTTGATAATTCCTCTAATTTAATCGGTGTGAAAAAAAAAGGTAAATACTCATTTGCAGTCTTACAATATAAATAATATCTTTACCTGGAAGTTGTTTCACTTCAATGGAATATCCTTTTTGTAGAATATTAATAAATCCCATTTCTTTCTCATCCACAAAACTTATAGCCAAACCATGAGTTCCTGTTTTATTGAATTCATGATTTAAAATCCAAAAAAATAAAAATATTAGCAAGTTTTAAAAATCTACCATATCGCCCTGTTCGACCAACACGATGGAGGTAAGTCTCGGGATCTTTGGGTATATCTAGATTCACTACTAGATTCACCCGATCAATGTCTATTCCCCGAGCAATCTATTAACAAAATTGAAATTTTTGAGACGCGATATTTTTTTCTCAATTCCCCACTAATTAAAGTTTCTTACCAAATCACTGCAAACTAAAACGCGTAGTTGAAAATTGCGTACTTTATTCATCGTGGTAAGTCGAGTTTTTTGATCAAGACCACCTTAGGAAATAATTTGAAAATTGAATTGAATAACCATCATGAAACTCAATACCATCATCCAATTTTACCTGAAATATTCATCGACATCCAGCCTTGTTTGGTAAGATAATCCGAAAGATCCGCTGCCCTGTTGATAAAAGAAATAAATAAAATCTTTTTTATATTGAATCAAATTCAAGTTAAATTGAATTGATGTACCTGCCACGATGGTTCAAAAATACAATGCATTGATAAAAAGGAACTCGCTCGAGAAGTGCTGCCAAACCCTTGAACTTTTCTTCGTAAAATTTATACTTATCTAAAACGTTATCATGATTACTCACTTTGACCACCTGATAATATTGCATCACTCCTGAACAAAAAAATATATATATAAATATCAATATCGGTGGATTAATAGAGTAGCCGTGCCAATTAACAAATCTCAAATACTATTTGCCTTCTAACGTGGGAGTTGATTCGGTGAGCATCACTTGATGCGGATTTTTCACATAATTACGATATAGGGTGTTCAACAAATGTTTGTCATATGTGGCAGAAAATGCCATTACTTGTTTTTTCTCATTTAATTTTTTACATAATCTTCTGTGAGTAAAAACCAAATGAATAAGAATTAAGTTGCCAAGTTATAGGATTATAAAACTTTCACTTACTGCATCTGGGGACGAAAGTTTTTCTCCATTAATTTATCAGCTTCGTCTAAAACCAGTAACTTTATTTCTTTTGCATTCAATTTATTTTGATTTAGAAGAAGTTCAATACGACCTTTGTTAAGAATTTAAAATTAATAATAGATCGATTCTAACTAATAAAACTGAATATTTCATAAGAATTACCAGGTGATCCGATAACGATATGACATTTTCGCAATTTAGGCCAGTCACTTTCAACTGGCATACCTCCAATAAAGACATGAGCATTTAAACCAGGCATATGACGCCCAATAGAAAGAATAACTTTATGAGTCTGTACAGCTAATTCACGAGTTGGCGAGAGAATTAATACCTAATAGAACCTAACCTGTTAAATTCAAACAAATTCTGAAGACGCACACTAGTTTTCAACAAACTTACTTGTGGCTTGTTAACATTCAAATTAATAGTTTCCAAAGCAACTATACTAAAAACAATGGTTTTCCCTGTTCCAGACTTTGCCTGCGCAATAACATCTAAGCCAAGTTTTCCTGTGCAGTAAATTACCGAGAAATAGTTAAAACCTCCTTAAAATCTTTATTTTGTAAAAACTTATTGATACCTGGTGGAATTGCTTTTAGTTGTATAGGAGAAGGACGTTCATAACCAGCCTCAGAAACTCCTCGCAGTAAGGCTGGGTTGGTTATTAGTGCCTCGAATTGTACGTCTTCATCAATTTGGACGTCTTGAGTGTGAAAAGGTGCTTTAACTGCAGACATTTGAATTATTTTCGAATGGTAATGAAAAATTCAATTTATGTTAACGATTATCATGCAACGTGACTTTCGCTAACTATATTAATTTGTCTCATATTGACAATTCTTATACCAGCACTCTTTAATAGTCTTTTTTTAGTATAACAAAAAAAACTTCAATTCCTTGATATACTATAATTAAAATGTCAGCATCTTGGAGTTCCCGATTAGCTCAACAGGTTACAAGTCCAGAGTTCAGGAGCTATTTAATGAGGTATTGTCATTTTCAATTTCATAAGGTTTAATTTTTTTATATTTTGACCAAGTTTTTGTTGTTTATTTAGTACGGTTGGTATATGTTAAGTTCCATTCTCTAATACAGTCAAAGTTTGATATTACAATATGGTCTGCAAGCATCGTTACATCGAGAATTTGTTACGAATATTGTTATATCGATGTGAATTATTAGTGTTTTTTGAGTAGTTGTCATTATATCGAGATTTGACTGTTAAGCAATGTCTCTAATTTAATTCTTTGCATTTTATGATAAAAATAAGCATTTTTGGGGCCCAGGTAAAAATTAAGACATTTTATGATCTTTCACGAAAATTAATAAATCGTTTTTTTCATTAAAATAAATTTTGTAATAAATTTACTGTTAGCTGCTAATTGGGGACTACCGATTGCTGCCATTATGGACTTTAAAAAAGATCCTGAATTTATATCACCAAAGATGACGCCAGGTATATTGATATATATATATATATATATATATATTAAATCTAGCAGCCTTTCAGATCTTTATTAATAGATCAATACTCTATTACATTTTCAACAGCAATGATGGCATATTCGGCGGCGTTTATGAGATTTGCTATCCAGGTACAACCACGAAATTTACTTTTATTTGCATGTCATTTGACGAATGAAACCGCGCAGATAGTACAAGCATCTCGATATATACATTATTTTCAGTAAGCTTTTTTTTTTGGAATAATAATTGCTATTATTAACAAATTGAGTTGAATTAATAATTTATTTTATTGACATTATAGTTTGGGCGGTAAAGAAAAAAAATTAAAGTTATTGGAAAAGAGTAGTGGTGATACCAAAATAAAATAATATTATATTTATACATGTAAAATATTTGACACTTAAGTTGTGTTAAAGTTTTATTTAAAATATTATCATTGTAACTCTTCTATAATTATTTCAATTCAAAGATAATTTATTTGCTATATTAAAAGCTCTCGTAATTATTTATATTATTTAAAATAATCTATAATATTTATTTAATTAATTTTTAATAAAAAAGAGCATTGTTATCATTATTGATATTCCTGTGAAAATGTGAAAATAGGCTTGATAACTATAAAAATTTTGGATGAAAAAGTTTAATATAATCAAAGATATAATAATAATAGATATTAGATTGAATTTAGATAACAGAATATTAATAATATAATTAGCCAATAAGATCTGAAATTTTTAATAAATAATAAAAGAAAATATATAATAATAAATATTAATTTTTATTAAGATAGTTATAATATTATTATATTTATATATTAAAATTATTTTATTTATAAAATTAATTTTATTACTTTTATAATTTTTATTTTTATTATTTTTAACTTATATAAAATTATTTTATTAAAATATAATATTTCAATATAAAATTTATATTTAAATTATTAAAATCTAAATTTTTTTCTAATTAAGAATGAAATTTAATTAGAAAAAATTTTTGCATTAACTTTATAATTAAAATAATATTTTTAGAAAAAATCTAAAAAATTTGAAAAAAATATATAATTTATAAAACTTTATTTTAATATAAAAATAAAAATTATTTTTTTAATAAAATTATAAAATATAATATAAAAAGAAAATTTTGATTTTATTATATTTTATTAATAAAATTAACTATTTAATTTTATAATTATAAGAATTATAATATTATATAATTTTTATACTTATTTTAAATTATAATTTTTTAAAAATTCTAAAATAAAAATAAAAATTAAAATATATTTATTATTATTATTTATAAATTATTATAATTATATTAATAAATATAAAATTTAATTAAAGTTATATAATTTATAAAAATTATTTAAAATTTATAAATTAAATTAAGATAAGTTATTTTTAATAATAAATAAAAAAGATTTAAATAAAATAAAATAATATTATAAGCTAAAATAATCTTTTTTTATAAGCTTTCATTTTTTAAATTTATATTAAAATTATTAAAATATCTAAATAAAAAATTAAATTTATTATATATAAAAATAATATAAGTTTAAAAAATATAATTATTAATAATAATTTTTAAATATAATATATTATTATTAGAAAATTTATAATAATTAAATTAATAATAAATTATATAATTATAAATAAATATAAAATAATGTTATAAATATAATTGAATCTTATTAATATAATATTTATATTAATTATAATTAAATTATAAAATTCAAATTATTAATTTTTTAATTTATTATAATATAATATATAAAATATTATAATATAATTAAAGTTATTATTAAAAAAAACTTTTTATATATAATATTAAAATTAATATATTTATTATAATTAAAAAATAAATTTATTTCTAAATTAATTTTGTAAAAAAAATAATATTAATAATAAATTTTAAAAGAAAAAAATAATTATTTTTTGAATATTTACTTTAAAATAATAATTATAATATAAAAATATATATAATATAAAATAAAAAATATATATAATATCTTAATAATTAGTTATTATATTATATAAAGCTTTTATTATTTAATTTATTATATTTAAATAAATTAAATAATAATATTTTTTATATAATTCTAATTATTTATAAAGATAATTTTATTAAATTAAAGAAAAATTTTTATATAAAAATTTTTCTTTAATTTAATAAAATCTTTAAATTAATAAAAAGTTTTAAATAAAAAATAATAATAAATAATAATTTTTATTTTATTTTAAAAAAATTATTAATTTTTTATATTTTTATTATAAAATTTATTATATTAAATATTATAAGATCAAATATATTTATATAATCAAATTTTTCTATAATTATATTTCTTTATAATTATTTTTTTTGAATTTCTTAATTATTAATTAACTATAATTAAAAAATTTCTTTATAATTATATTTTTTTTAGTTATTTAATTTTATTTTTTAAGTATAATAATTATAAAAATATCTAATTATATTATATTAATATATTTATTATATATATAATGATAATCAAAAATAATGTAATACTTAAATTTTTTATTAATTATAATTAATAAAATATATAATTTTTCTTATATATAAAAGTTTTTAATTTTACTAATAAATATTTTTTATTTTTAACTCAAAAAATAGTTAAAGTTCT